CCGTTCTGCAACTGCTCGTACCACTAACTTTCGAGACATTTTGTTTGTCTGTACAGATCTGACGCTTTTCCGATTATTTGTTCCCTTTATGATACCTTTTCGAGTTTTTGAGATTTTGCAGTTGCTTGTAAACAAATAGGGAATTCAAAGGTGAAGGCCTACATTTCGCTCAATAAACTGAACTGAACTGAACTCCTTAAATAACACGTATTCGTAATTGAAAATGAAGGGGTTCAATACACGCACATTCCGACATTTCTGCCGTCACTTTCGATGACATTCACAACTGACCCACGCAATAAGCCCAGTAATGTCGAATGTCTAGATATTGCGCAGTATTTTCCGCCTTCCCCCCTTTGTCACCCACACTGATCCCATACAACCACGTAGCCATGTCAACGAAGGTTTGCAACAAAGCGTTGGCTGACTGAGGTAAACAGTCCATCTTCGCGTGCGACACACGATCAGGCCCTTACCTCATGCACTAGACATCCGAAAAGCGCGAGATGCGTCTGGCATGAAAACAAGTGTCATAAATTACGCATTAAGAATGAATACATAAATTCCGAACTTCGGTAAACAGAAGATCATAGCTTAGCCTGTCCGGTTAATTTATACAGCGTTGAAATTATGGTGGACAAGATGGTCTGATGCACGATGATTATGCAGTTACGTGTGTCAACTTCGCTTCCTCTTTCCTCTCCCAAGCACCAATGGCTTGTCTTTTCTGGCAGAGGGGATTGAGCAGTTAGACGGCCCCGACAGTCGATGTGCCGAATGAATATGAAGGGGAGAGAGAGTGATTTTGATGCTGGGGAATCGATTCCCACGGCACATCTGCGCATTCCCCACTTTTGTGGTGCTGGTCTGTTTGAATCTATGCTAAGGCGCTAACAGTCACGTCTGGAAAGGCCGCAAACAGACGAGATATCTCGATCTCCCTCAGAAGTGAGATTCAAACACGTCGGTTGCGTTGCATTGTGACCTCATGTGATCCACTCACGAACCTGTGATCTGAACCATCGAGTTACTCTCAATATTCCCACCTATCTCTGGGACACACGGTGAATATCGTTGGAATCGACATTTGCACTCTCACTGTCGTGAATTATGAGCTCTGCATTAAAACGACCGGTGAAATCTAGAGATGTGTGGCCAATATCACCAGGCGAAGTTCAGAAGACGAAGATGCGATCAGTGGAACAAGAAATCGATTGGCCTGATGTTTCGGATTCTTACTCGAATCCATCTTCAGAGACAGTTGTATATAAAGGTGATGGTGGCACAAGGAGTGCAGTATTTAAAGCACGTGGCTGCCGTGGGCCCATATGCGCACTGTAATCAACAGCTCTCGCAATCACCGCTGGGGTCGTAATTGATGCGGTGGTGGCTTGTCAGTCCGCGTCCGAGTCGTTAATTGCCGTGCTGGATGCTTGTGTGACGATTGATCGGCAAATTGGCTCACTGTCCTTGTGATAATTGCTCGCCCGCGCCCTCCCAACGTGACTGATTTCCCTGCAACACGGAATATGGTACCGGGAGGTCATTGCGCTTGTTGATGGATTGCGGGCCGAAAGACCCACTGCCACGGCAGGAAACGTCTGGAGTCGTTTACCGGATCTGTTGCATTTGCGGACAAAGCAACTACGTCGGAGAAACTGGGAGATTACTCCGTACGCGAATTGCCGAGCACGCAGTAGCAGTGAGGCGGGTGAATGCAGACTTGAACAGCATCAAACTCCCTTTCCCCTCCTCTCCACCTAAACCCGGTGTCAAGACGAAGACAAAAAGACCAGGGGAGTGGGAGGGCGCAGGTGGATGGCACGATGGAGCCCGCACCTTGGCGGTCCAATCCACACATCCTGGTCCGCTCAGCAAATGACCAGGTGTTTGACCTACAACAATGGGGGGGGGGGCGACAGGGGTCCCAGTGTGCACGACCTCTGCCGGCACCCGGGTCTGCCACCTGTTCGGAGTGCCTTCACTCCCAAAAACAAGAACCAACCAATCACTGGACATCACGTACGTTTACTCTCTCTACAGCGCCGTCATCTTAATCGGGCGCCTCTCCATTGGCTACTCCCTCTTCCCGAAGGTCATTGGTTCGAATGCCGGCGAACCACAGTAGGGTGTTATAAATATGCGTAACCTTTCAGCTAGTTGCGACTTGTAGTGTTTCTCGAATACACTGGTGGTTCGCAATCTGTTGATCACACTGCCGGCAGCATCACTGAATTCTTGTCTGACCCACAGGCCCATATCACCATTGATTCCTGGTACACAGGATACGAGGACTTGTTCTCTGTCGATATGGCTGCCCAGAACGATGCATGGAAGGTTCGACTGCTACTTCGCAAACTGGGTCTGGCTGAACACGAGCGTTATGCTAACTTCATCCTCCCCAAGGATCCCCGAGAAGTCACTTTCAAGGACACGGTTCAGACGTTGTCGCAGATTTTTGGTGAGCAATCATCCCTTTTCAACACTCGATTTCAGTGCTTGCAACCGTGCAAACGAGATTCGATGATTTCATACCGTGTGCAGGCGTTGTCAATCGTGAGTGCGGGCGTTTTAACTCGATTCTCTTACTAATGACCAGTTTAAATGTCTTATATTTATCTGCGGCCTCCAGTCCACCAAGGGTTTTGATAACCGGACACGTCTCCTGACCAAAGTGCAGCAGAACAACTCTATCACACTCCAAGAGCTGGCAGCAGAGTGCCAAACGCTGACCAAACTCAAGCACGACTCTGCAATGAGTCAGAACCCCGCCTCATCTTTCTCAGTCCATTCGGTCACATCGACCAAATCGCATCCTGTTACGCGGCCCAAGCAATTGTCCAAGGCGAGATCTCCGCCAGCTCCTTGTCGGCACAGTCGCGCGTGCCATTTCCACCGGGATTGCACTTTTCGCCAGCATCGCTGCCAAAGTTGTAATCAGATAGGACACCGTGATGGGTTCTGCAAATCAATACCAGCTTCTGGAATCAAGTCAGCCCCCGCCACTTCTATTTTCAGCACCGTTTTTGGTCAAAACGCAAGCCCAAACCCCAGTCCGTCGGTAAGTCTCTCGGTGTTATGGCCACTTTCCAGCTCAATGCGGCTGGTGTTAGAAAGTTTGTTGACGTTTTGCTCAATGGCCATGAAGTTCGCCTACAGTTGGACACTGCCACAGACATCACCATCATCTCTGAGAGACTCTGGCTGTCCCTTGACAGCCCCGAGATCCAGCGGACTTCCCAGTCCGCCACAAGCGTGTGCGGTGGTCTCGTACAGCTAATTGGGCAACTGCAATGCTGTATCTCGCTCCGCGGTACCAGCATCACTGCGATCTGCTACATCACCAAGTCTGATCTCAACCTACTTGGTCTCGACTGGATTGAACTACTCGGTGTGGCCGACATGCCTCTCCGTCCTGTTAGCGGTCAGGTGCAGATTCCTGCTCTGCTTGCAGACCAAGCCAAGGACATTCTCCAACGGTTTGGTCCAGTGTTCCAAGACGGTCTGGGTCGTTGCACGTACACTCAAGCCGTGCTAGATCTTTCTCCCGGAAGTCAACCGGTCTTCCGTCCAAAGCGACCGGTCTCATATGCAGCCCTACCACTTGTCGAGGCTGAACAGAAGCGTCTGGAGGAACTGGGAGTTCCTGTATCCTACTCCGCCTGGGCCGCTCCAATAGTTGTGGTTAAGAAGCCCAATAGCTCGACCCGCATTTGTGCTGACTTTTCTACCGGTCTCAATGCCGCGTTACGCCGAACTGCTATCCAATGCGGGTTCCGGCTGATCTTTTCACCCTGCTGAATGGTGGAACTTGGTTTGCCAAGTTGGATCTCGCTGATGCGTATCTGCAGATCGAGGTCGCCGCAGATTCGCGCGAATTGTTGACCATCAACACCCAGTGAAGTCTGTTCCAATATACCAGGCTGCCCTTTGGTGTCAAGACCGCCCCGGTCCTATTTCAACAAACGATGAGCGCAATGCTCTCCGGCATCCCTGGCACAGCTGGGTACCTAGACAACATCATCCTCGTGGGTCGTTCCCCTGTCGAGCTGCAAGACCGATGGTGCGCAGTGCTCGAACGTGTGCAGGAATATGGCTTCCGCCTGCGGGCCGACAAGTACCAATGCTTCCTCGACTCCATCAAGTACCTCGGATTCGATTTAGACGTTACCGGTCGCCATCCAGATCCTGAAAACATTCGGGCCATCCAACGGATGCCTGCACCCAAGAATGTATCGCAACTTCGTTCGTTCCTTGGCCTGATCAGGTACTATAGCGCCTTCCTACCATCGCTGCATGACGTACGGGCACCGCTCAACCGTCTGTTGCAGAGGTATGCTGCCTGGTGCTGGTCCCCCGACTGTGAAAAGGCCTTCGCCCAGCTAAAGTCGATGCTGAGTTCAGATCTGCTGCTCACGCACTACGACTCGACGCTGCCGATCATTGTTGCTGCAGCTGCTTCCAACCACTGAGTTGGTGCCGTCATCTCACATACTTTTCCTGATGGGTCTGAAAAGGCGATCATGCATGCATCTCGCACGCTAACCCCTGCGGAGAAGAACTATGGGCAAATAGAGAAAGAAGCTCTAGCCCTCGTGTTTGACGTCAAGAAATTTCACAAACTGTTGTACGGTCGCCACTTCACGTTGTTGACGGATCACAAACCATTGCTGTCAATCTTCGGTTCGAAGAAGGGCATTCCCGTCTACTCAGCCAGCCGACTTCAGCGATGGGCAACCATTCTTCTTGCTTACGATTTTAACATTCGCTACTGTCGTACCACAGTCTTTGGTCAGGCTGACGCCCTTTCTCGCCTCATCAGCAATCAGCGGGAACCGGAGGAAGACACCATGATTGTTGCCATTTCGATTAAGGACGATGTGCGCGTCAGTTATCAGACGCCATACGAGGTATCCCTGTCACTGCCGCGGATATCCGGCATGCTACTAAACAGGATCCTGTCCTCCGTCAGGCCATCACCTACGTGCAGACCTGCTGGCCAACCACTGCTCTCGCTGGTGATCTTCGTCAGCTCTTCCTCCGCCGAGCATCGCTATCTGTGGTTGACTCCTGCCTCACGTTTGCGGACCGTGTGGTGATCCCATCTTCCCTCCGACCCACTGTACTACGCCAGTTTCATGCTGGTCATCCTAGTACCAGCCGAATGAAGTCAATTGCTCGCAGTTTTGCTTACTGGCCGGGTATCGACGGCGACATCGACGACCTGGTTCGACGCTGTTCTCGATGTCAGCAAGCTGCCAAGATGCCGCCTCGTCAACCGCCAGTACACTGAGAACAACCGGAGAGGCCTGGGTCACGCGTGCACATCGACTTCGCTGGCCCACTTAACGGAGTCTCCTACCTAATCTTGATTGACACCTACTCAAAGTGGCCCGAGATTGCTCCGCTGACTCCAGCAACCGCATCTGCCACTATCGCCTTCCTACGACGCATCTTTAGCCAGCATGGCTTACCAGAAGTCCTGGTTTCAGATAATGGCTCTCAGTTTACCTCGTCGACGTTTGAGGATTTCTACCGCCAGCACAACATCCAGCATCTTCGCTCGCCCCCCTACCATCCTCAGTCTAACGGTCAGGCGGAACGTTTTGTCGACACTTTTAAGAGAGCCCTTTTGAAAGCTCGTGGGGAGGGGACCACGAACGAGATAGTCCAGGCGTTCCTGTTTTCCAACAGGACAACACCAAACCCGGCGACCCTGGTGGCGTTTCTCCTGCCGAAGCGTTGATGGGCCGAAAATTGCGGACAACATTTCATGCACTCGTCCCTACCTGTGCGCAGTTCGCGCAGACTTCTCCAGTCTCTCGCAGCATGCTCTCCATCGGAACACCTGTCTTCGTTCGTGATTATCGAGCGGGGTTCCCAGACTAGATTAAAGTCACCATAGTAGCTACAGAGGCAGTATGCTGTTGGACGTCGACGTTGGTGATGACATCTGGGTTCGCCACCACAACCAGATCCGACGGCGACACTGCAGTAACACAACTGGGCTCGAGTCGGCGCCGTCACTCTCCCTTGACATCCTACTGGATACCTTCGCCATTCCCGGCAGATCAATCGGTTCCCGAACCCACTGCTGCGCCTCCTTCGAATATACCACCTTCGGTATCAGGTGAAGCTCCCGCATCTCCAGGCATTAAACCACGACTAAGACGCCGGACCAACCGTGTGCGCCGATCAACACGGCTGATGCAGGTCAACCCACGCCAGAAGCGGTATTGACCTACTTGGAGGGGAGGTGTTAGGAGGCCTACACTCCCAAAACAAGAGCCAGCCAATCACGGGAGGTCACGTGCGTTTTCTCTACTGCGCTGTCATCTTAATCGTGGCGCCTCTCCATTGGCTTTTCCTCTCGGGCCTGATCGATCAGCATATTCGAATTATCGACCGGCTCGTCCCGAATGTTCTTATGGAAGGGCATTGGGCCGAACGCCCGCGAAGCACAGTAGGGCGTTATAAATAGGCGTTACTTCCACTTAATTTTGACTTGCGATTTCCTAATACACATTTTCGTGGCCGGTCGCGTACTCCTTCTCTGTCGCGCTGGAATTGGGGACAAGTGTCGAGTGCGCATACGCTCCACAGGATTTCAAGTACCAGGCCGGTCATAACACCCGCTTAATCTACGGCAGCATACCTCATGTTATGTTAGCGTCCACATCTAAACTTGCATAGTTTAGGATAGTTCCGATACAATCGCTGTAGACCTACAATACTTTTCTTCTCTTGGCATCAAAAGTACTCCGTTGAAGTTCGGCCGCACGCCTAATCCGTCTCTCTTCAATTTCTGCCATTCTCAAACCTTTCAGAGTTTAATTAAAACTACGATCACTAATAGAAACGTTCTTGCAATAGCCGGACCAAGCATCCCTCTTGAGAAACAACCTGTGGTAGTTCCTGACCTCTGGAAGTAATGGTCCAAGGTGATAATCGAAATGCTCGTTCTTCGGCGATTGTGTTGCAACTGTCGGAAGGTAAGCTACTATAAAATAAGCCGCATAGCGACTATTGCGGTCGCTTGTCAGCGGTGGGAGGTTAAGGTTGGTAAACGTAGGGTGGGTCTACGGCGATCGCTGCGCAACTCTCCAATGGTATGGCGCCATAGATTGAGCTGCATACCTACAACTGCGGTTGTTCCTCACCTAAAAACGTAATGGTCGTATTTGATAAGTCAATTGGTCAGTCCACAGCGAAGGTAAGCTATTATAGAATAAGACGCATAGCGACTAACACGATCGCTCCTCAACTGTGGAAGCTTATGTTAAGTTTGTTTAGCGTGGGGTTGGTCTTCGCCGATCGTTTAGCAGCTATCCAATGGTACGGTGCCATAGACTGAGCTGCATACCTACAACTGCGTTCGTTCCTGAACTAAGGAAGTGATGGCCATAATCGATAAGCTAAAGGGTCGGTCCACAGCGATCGAATTGCAGGTGTCCGAACGTATGCTACCGTAGATTAATCCGCGTACCGACTACTGCGCTCGCTCTTCAGATGTGGAAGCTAATATCAAGGATGGCAAAAATAGGATACGTCTAAATCAATCGTTTCCCAACTGGACTAGATAACCCAGATGCCTTTAAAGGACAAGGAGAGTTCAAGAATGATGCTTGGTCCGGCAATTGCAAGAACGTTTCTATTAGTGATCGTTGTTTTAAATAAACTCTGAAGGCTTTGAGAATGGCAGAAATTGAAGAGAGACGGATCAGGCGTGAGGGCGAACTTCAAGGGAGTACTTTTGATGCCAAGAAAAGAAGAGTATTGTAGGTCTACAGCGATTGTATCGGAACTATCCTAAACAATGCAAGTTTAGATGTGGACGCTAACATAACATGAGGTATGCTGCCGTAGATTAAGCGGGATACCAACAAGTGCGGTTGCTCCTGACCTCCGGAAGTATTGGTCAAGAATGATAACGCTAGGGTAGGTCTACAGCGATCGGTTTGCCACTGTGCTAAGGTACGTTATCGCAGATTAAGCCGAATGCGGACTGCTGCTAACACTCGTCGACCGCATAATCCTCCTGCAAGGATGATAAGCAATGGTTCGGTCTGCAGTGGTCGCTGTCTAACTGCGCAAAGGAATGCTAGTATAAAGGAAGCCCCAGACCAACTGCCACGGTGGCTTTTCAGCAATGGAAGCCTATCTCAATATTGATAATAGTAGGCGTGATCTACAGCGATCGTTAAGCAAATACGCTGCCATAGATTAAGCTGCATACCGACTACTGCCGTCGTTCCTCATCTCAAAAAACGTTGGTGAAGATTGGTGGACCTAGGGGTGGTATACTGCGATCGGTTAGACACTGTCCTTAGACATACTACCGTAGGATAAGCCGCATAAAGACTACTGCTGTCACTCATCGGCCATGTTAGTCTACATCAAGGTTGGTGAACTATTGCTCGGTATATACCCGTTGTCTCTCAACTCCCCAACAGTATGCTAGCAAAGAGAAAACCGAATGACGAGTAATGCGGTCGCTCTGCAGATGTAGAATATGTCAAAAGTAATAAATGCAAGGTGGATCCACAGCGTTCGTAAATCAACCCTTTAATAGCGAAACCGGCGCGTGCCACCTAATGAAGGTTATTCGCAAATAGAATAATATCCTTAGGGATATAGTTTAAATAAAATATTAAACAAATAGTTATCGTTATTTTTTGGGCCCGTCCTCCTATGTTTGTTGAGGGATTAGGGTTTTTGGACCGGCGCGAAATTTAGAACGTGCAGCCATAAGAGCTGTGCACTTGTCATTTTCTCAACTCCTTCAGTCTCAGTCCTCACGCATTTCGTATTTTCAAGCAGTTGCCGCAGAGAAGGCCGTTACCACCCATTCTATTCTGAAATAAAAGCCTTTGTAGTCCAATTAAAATTGCTCATTGATGGTCAGATTTCTGAACAGTCATAGCAATGTCCACTGGAGAGTGAACAATGACCTACTTCATCAAAACATGAATGTACGCACATCATGCACGCTTGATTGCATCATATATAAGTGGACAGTGCGCATCTATTCTTCAATTACAGAGGCTTACAGTTCACCCCCTCGTCAGTCACATCTCCCGAATAACCACCGTCTGATGCTCCGGGTTTTGACTATCAGTGTATTGTTGCTGTCTACATCCGAAGCCTGTTTCTTCTTTCAAGGTATTTACCATTTTCGACATAGTCTGCTCATACCAGCGTTTGTTACATTAATTTGCTCTGTTTTTATGAACGCCTTTCTGCATATCAGACAAACAGACCGAAAATGTATGACAACTATTAACAAGCAAAACACTACTTACATCGGAATTCGTGTTAAACATAATCGGCACCACCAATGTATGACGCGAAGGAGGTAAGTTTCAAGAGCATTTGCTGCATTTGATGAGATTGATTCAGGAGTATCTGGTTAATTTGATCGGAAACACATATGCAAACCTGAAGTACACTCTCTGACACCAACCCTCTCAGTCTTAGTTTGAATACCATGGGCATAATTACTCATGTCCATTTGGTTTACCCGAATTTCATTGTACGCAGTGCACAAGCGTATACATCTTTAATTTGAGTCGCAGTAAGGAATTCACAGATTAAATGCATACCAATAGAAATGCCCGGGGCAAAATATAAGTAAGTAGTCCTCGAATATAAATCGCATTCACATGGGGCAACCGTACATTGAAATACCTTACCTGTTTTATTTATGCACTTGGTAATGATTTTCTAACGTAAAGTGGATTTATAAACTGTCAAGTACAGGCGCAATAAAGTTTGAGTAATGCAACAGAAGTGTCATACAGATAGTGAACTTGTGTCGCCTGTTCTTTGGAGAATGAACTGTTTTTATGATGACGAACCGGAAATGCATATAGCATAAATTTGATATTTCCTTTTTGAATTGCCAAAACTCTGCAGCAAAGGCAGTGCCACCAGAAAAATGTCCGACGGTCAACTCACTGGCTTCATTACCGCGGTTTGTGGAGAAACAGCTGCTTAAACGGCCCAATATAATGCATTATTTCCGGCTTCATGATGGAACGATAACAAAACTTGATCTGTCTGTGAAAGGCAACATTACAATGGGAATTTGCTCATACGCCGAAGTCTTCGGAGAGGAGAACGTTTTAAACTTGCACTGTCAAATTGAGTTCAGCAAAATTAATCTGAGGATCAGTCACTTGGTAGGACCGAAATGTTCTTTGCTAGTTTTGAATGTTCAGGTGTGTTTGTCGGGAAATCTACCGTCTAACTCTTTTTAATATAGAAACTTCGGCAGCTAATGAGGCACGGCAT